AAAAAAAAAAAAAAAAAAACCCGCAAGCAAAAAACAAGAAACACCCTCCCCACCTTTCTGTGTTAGAACTAGAGAGTTCGGTCTGCTGGGAGTGGAGCCCTTGGCTAGTGTGGGGGTGGGGTGGGCGGAGAGGGGAGGCCCTAGTCCCCAGAACTGGCAGGAAGGGAAGAAAGGAGAGTAGGGAGGAAAGGGTATTCTCAAATATCTTTTTTTTTTTGTACTGGGTTTTGAACTTGGGACCTTGCACTTGCGAGGCAGGTGGCAGAACCAGTGAGCTAAATCCCCAGCCCGATCTCAAATATCTAGAAGGGTGTTTGCCCTTTGAGCCCTCTCTGGTGGAGGACGTGACAGTTCAGGGTGCCAGCTCCAGGGTGTCCTAGGGAAGGAAGAGGCTGTATCACTCTGTTTTGCATTGCTGTGACAAAACCCCTGAAGCGGGATACTTTCAGAAGTAAAAAGGGTTATTTGGTTCATGATTCCAGGGGCTGGAGGGTCCCAAAAGCATGGTTCTGGTGGCCTGGTGGGGCTCCTGCTACATCTCAACCCGGTGGAGAAACAGAGAGGCAACGGGAAGTGTGTGGCGGTTTCGCTTTCTAACAACCTGCTCACAGGACAGCTCACCGAGCCTTGTCCTCTGCATGAATCCCTCCACAGCCAAATCACCTTCCCTTAGACCCCACCTCTGAGGTCCCCCGCTCCCCACTGCCACCTGGTGACCAAGCCATATCCAAACCACAGCAGGGAGGACGCACTCAGCTCCTGGAGCCCGTGGTTGCTTCCGGGCCACTTTCAGCCAGTGCCATGTTTTTAGAGGACCTGACCTCAGGAGCCTTGTACCCAGCTCCATCTGGACACAGATCTCTTGTTTTTGTCTTGAGACAGGGTCTCGCTGTGAAGTTCAGGCTGGCCTTGAACTTCACATCGATCCTCCTGCCTCAGCCTCCTGAGTGCTGGGATCACAGGTGTGTGTCACCAGGCTTAGCTCTGCAGTCCAGTCCACTTTAATGAAGGAAGCACAGGGACCCAAGGAGTTGCAGGAGCCCGTCGCTGTTGTCCTGCTAAGATCCAGTTCCACTGTACCTCCGGCACCGCCCCATCCTTCAGAAGGTCACCAAGCTGGTGTCAGAGGAGCCTGAGGCAGTGGGACTGGGCCCTTCCGCACCTGAGTACAGGCCTTAGCACTCATCTCAGCCTGACAACACAGTTTGGCCTCACTACCTGAGTGAATGCAGACAGGTGTTAGCCTCCCCTTCGCCTCAGACTCCACATCTGAAAAATGGAGAGAAGGCAAACCACTAGGCTGAGGTCACATGTCAGACACGGGAAGTTCTCATGATAGAAGCTGTTGGATTCACAGAGCTCTGTCCCTCCCACCTCCTGTCCCAGCAGAGGAAGAAGTGCAAACACAAGCTTGTAGCTGGGTGTGGTGGCGCACACCTGTCATCCTAGGACTCTGGGAGGCTGAGGCAGGAGGATGGCAAGTTCTAGCCCAACCTGGGAGGGCAACTGAGCAGGAATGAGTCATTAAAAGGGCTGCGAGGCGGGGGGCACTTTCTGGTGCCCCTTCTGTCTCTCTTAGACAGAAGCTACCTTTCTCTTAATAAATTTTCCTACTCTTGAAAAAAGGGGTCTGGGGATGCCCCTCAGTGCAGAGACCTTGGGTGCGATCCTAGGTGCCAGGGAGAGAGGGAGGGGACAAAGGAGTCACCGAACTAGGCCAAGATTGGAAATCCCAATCTCCCATTTCATCCCCACTGAACACGAGGGCCTGTTTGTTTTATGCCAGCTTCCCAGGGTGTGGAAGGAGAGAAGGCAGGACTGTTCTCAGGGCCCTGCCTTCTTTTCTAGGTCCTTGTCACTTTCTGTTAATATCATACCAGAACCTTGGCTGTGTAAACAGCCCTCATAGACAAACTCCACCAGCCCTGGACTCCAATCTTTGTTTAACATCCTGCTCCCGCCCTGACCCACTAGAAAGTCTGGAATTTGTTAGCCAGAAGCTTGGAGTCTGAGAATAAATAGCACAGCAGGCAGATCGGTTGGATTTAGGTCACTGACATAGGTTTTGCTCGGTCTGTGGCTGTGCCTTCTGCTCCTCACAGAGGTGACCTGGATGGGGACGACCTCCTTCCCCTAATAAGCCCCACAATGACAGCGTGGCCATGTCCTAAGGTGCCGGCCCCTTCCTGGGCCTGTGACCAGGTCTACGCCGCAGAGCAAGCAGGTCCAGGGAAGGCTCAGAGGAGCCCTGTGTCTCCTCCCCCAGTGCCACAGAGGGAACTTCTGGTCTTGAAGCGGAGGCAGCATTGCCTACGCCCAGCTCCACTGCCGCCTTGGCACCAGAAGCAGAACACAGCTGTGCCAACAGCTGGCTGCAGCAAGAGCTCAGGACAGTGGGGCCCGGTCGCCCTTTCTCCCACTTCCTGGGGAGACATCCTAAGGGCGCGGCTGGGCTCACAAAGGGGGCAGTGGCTGGGGCGGGTGCCAAGGGTAGGCCCGGCTGGCACTGCACCACGTGGCTGGCTTAGACATGTAATCTCCGTCTTCTAACTGCCATCACTGGCCACTTCCAGATATATTCTTTCCTCTGTGAAGTGCTTCCTCTACCAGTGTTTTCAAAGACAAGCTTTCTAATTTTTATCCCCTTGATAATTTAGCTGGAAATCCAAATTTAGGTTCAAAGTTACTTTTCTTTGATAATTTTACTTTTTTTTTTTGGCAACAGGGTCTCACCATGTATTTCAGGCTGGTCTTGAACTCACTATGTAGCCCAGGCTGGCCTCAAACTCGTAGCGATCCTCCTGCCTCAGCCATCTGAGTGCTGGGCTTACAAGTGTGCACCACCACACCCAGCTTTTTTATATTCTAAGAGAATTTTCAATTTTTTCTTAAATCCAATGTCAATGTTGCTGGGCGTGTTTTTTAACATCAGGTTCTCAGAGTCCTTACTGATCCAGCCCGGCATTACCTTTTCCTCACATGGGCCACCACCAGAAGCTGTCACTTGTGTTTACTGTTTATGGTCCCCCCACCCCCAGCCCAGCTCCACAGAGGAGAACTTGCAGGTTCAGCAACAATGTTCAGGAATCTCTGACCTGGGCCTACAGAGCCCTACTGACCCCAGCCCTGGGCTTCTCCCCTCAGCACTAGGGGCTTTCTCCACCCAGACCTGATCTCAGCTCTGAGCCTGAGGCACCCTTCCACGGGAATCCAAAAGATCCATAAAGATTTGGGGCTTTTCCTCCAAACACTGGGTGAAAGAACTGCTGGGTGATCCGATTTACAATCACGGTGTGAGGGCTTCCTCTGCTAGTGTAGGGGGCTGGCGTCTTGTACATCTTTGAATCACTATTGCTTACCCATAGTAGGTGCTCAAGAAAGATTTGTTTGGGGGATTCACATAAACCCTCCTAGGGAGAAGTCAGCCTAATTAGGGACGGCAGGAAACTACGTGTGCCCCGGGGAGAGGATCAGAGGTTGTACCCGAGGAGCAGGGCTGGGTATTATTAACATGTTTTTGGTCGATTACTGGGTAATACTATACACCGGGAATTAAAGGGCCTTAGGCCCTCACCAGCCCCGCGCAGATATTTAAATTTAATTGAAATTGAATAACATGTACAAGTGAGTCCGTCCTTGGCACTTAGCCTAATTTCAAGGGCTCTACGGCCTCAAGCGGCTGTGGCCGCCGCAGATAACAGCTCCAGCGGCAGCGCAGGGCAGCTGCACAAGGCTGACCCGGACCCCGGCAAGGAAGGCGCCCGTGCGCCTGGGACCCGAGCCCATCAGCGC